GTTAGCTGCACGTTTATGTCACACCATGGAAACAGCCAAAAAGATGGTGCTTGTTTTTGAGCGGAGCGGATCGCCAACCAGCCTACTGGCTTGTTTTCATTTATTATTATTTTTGACGATCCGCTCTCAGCTAGGATAGCCTTTATAAACACTACGTCCGTCCACATGTCTGTCTGCCCACGCTTCTGGTTTTTTTTGGTTGGGCCAATTACGTTCAAATTTAACAGGCAGGTCACACTTGAAAACAAATCTTGACTCGCCGTTGTCATGGCAACATTCGGTAAATCTGACACGTCTCATTCTATTCTGCTCGAGTGCATGCCCAATTTTAGTATTTGGGTTTTTGATATCTTTCATCCTTGTCAAGAAATTTGACCTGGTTGAGGTAACATTTTCCTCAGAGAAACGCTTTTTAACTTTTTGGTGATTTTGTTCAAACTTGACAGGTAGATCAAACCTGCAGGTGGAAAATTTGGTGGAAAAAATCCTGTCATACCGTTGCTATGGTAACACCTATAAACCTGAATTTGTGGCGGTAGCTTCGCACAAAACAAGTCTCTGAGTAAAAAAAACAACCATAACTCATTCAACATTGCTTGAACAAAGTCCCTCTATGGCTGTGACTTTAGTATGTGCCCAAAGTTACTATTTAGTTTTTGAGTTGAGGCCAGTGCTTCCACTGGGTTGTCACTGTGCATTATTTGAAACTTAATTGATAAATATTGATCTTGTCGTCGTACCAACTCACGCCCAAAAACCCAGCAACCTTCAGCCGTTCAAGAGGGGAATATACGCATGCGCAAACTACTTTTCTGGGTTCTGGGCATGTTCTAGGCCCATGCCTCATTTGACGCACATATTTACACTTGGACCAAACCATTTTCTCGTCTTGGATGTGTTTTTTTTCATTTTCTGTTATTTTTGTTCATGACTGGATAGAAAAAAAATGAACTACAAGATTTTTTTGGACTTCATTAAAAAATAAAATCGTTTTTGTAGGATGGAAACTTTTTGAGGTCAAACCCTCCACCCCCAAACTAAAGCAAATAAGTTTTTATTCGACATCGATCTTTTGACGTCGTCCCTTACCAAATTACCATAATACAAAATTTCTGAATCACACAATATTTCAACTCTTAGTTCGTCAAGCGTTGAAATGTTCAATTCCAAAAAGCATTCAACTTTACCGAGTCGTGGAGTTGATTGAGTCCATCGAGTATTTCAGTCTAACAAGCAAGTTCATTAAGCAATTTTCTGAAGTCTGTCCAATGTCAGGCCTAGCAGAGGTTCACCTATAAACCGCGATTTGCGATTTATTAATATTTACTCGAAGTTTGTGTAGCTTTGGATCATAGAATGGGTAATGCATGGTAACCTGTGCCATGCCTCTGCCTTTGCAATTTATTTTAAAATCTGAAATTGTAAATCGCGAATCGTAGTTTAGTAGTGGCCCTAACATAGCATTTCAGTCTACCGGCTTGTACGTATTAACTTTTCTGTATTTTTTTTGTCTGGACCGGTTTTGTTCAAACTTGATAAGCTGGTCCCACCTGCAGTCTAGTAAGGAGACAACATTTGACAATGATTTGCGTCTCCCGGCGGATCACCAATCAGCTCATTTTTATTATTTTCTTGTCCTGGGACCAGTACGGATCAAATACACTAACACACGAACGCTTGATGATGGCCGATATTTTACATGCGTTAGTAACAATAAATTGATACGTACACTGAAGTTATTTAAATTGTCACATGAGCGTTAAAGTGATTCCTAAATCATCACAACCACTCACTCTATAGTCTACAAATATTTCAGAGCCTTATCATAAATGGAAAATACTTAAAACAGTGGTTTAAATTAATTAACAATCCATATTGTTGTGATGACTAAATTTGCATATTCTCCTGTTTTTTAAATAATTAATAAAACACTCTATCAAGTATGAAGTAATTTTAGAACATCTGTGAATGCTTACCAATCATATAATATTTACTGTGATGTCAAAACATCGATCACAGATGATTTTTAACCATTTCAAACATCAATGCATCAATTCGGCTATTCTTGTATTTTACTTTTTTCGTACATTGTAGATGTAGTATATGTGAATAATACTTGGACGGTGACTTTTGTTAAATTTACGTAATCATACTAAATATTTCACAATTTGAATGTAAAAACGAACAAAATATTCTGCTGAAAATGCAAAAATATATATTTAAAGAAAAAAAATACATCAAATCAATGTGACTATTTTGTTACTCATGTTTTATTCTACATTTTCAGAAAAAAAATGTATTATTCATTTTGTTTTTTACACAGTACTCATAACATCGGCTATTAATTAGTGTAAATTATTACCATTTATGAAGTATACCGTTTGATATGATTTAAACACGTTTTCTATAAAAAAAATAAGTGTGAATTGTACTTCCTGAAAACCTCTACTACATCCTTGAGCGGCAAACATGAGTGTGTGCCAGGCTAGTGTTCAGGGAGAATGATGACCTGACATTATTTGCTATCACTATGGTAACTTAA